TGACTAATCTAATTACACAAAGTACTCCTTTGGGTAATATACAAGAAGGACAAGAAGCTGTGGTTGCTGACGATAGCAATGAAGAAGGAGAAAAAGATAAATTAGATGAAGATGATGAATTCCATATTCCAAAATGGAATAAAACTTCTGAAGCTTGGGAGGACTTCAACGAATTTGAAGAAAATGGCAATTACTATGCCATTTGCCATTACTGCAATAAAAAGCTATCGAGGGGTAAATCAAAGCAAACAACTAGCTTGTGGCGGCACCGAAACTCATGTCCATCTAGAAAAACAAGTTTAAGACAAGCTGCACAACAAATGAAACTAAACTTTCAGCCGGCTGATGATGCATTTCCTACTATACCACCTTTGCATACCGGGAAATTTGACATGGAGAAAATGAGAGAAGCCGCTGCACATTTGATTGTGATGCACGAACATCCCTTCACCATTCTTGAAGAAGAAGGTTTGAATATTTTCCTAAAGCGTGGCATGCCCGAGTGGCAAAAGATCACTAGAGGAGTAGCAAAAAATGATTGTGTGGCAGTCTATGAACTTGAGAAAAAGAAGCTGAAGAAAAAGTTGAGAAATGTGAAAAAGGTGAGCCTCACAACCGATCTTTGGAAATCCAAAAATCAAAAGATCGAATATATGGTTATTACTGGCCATTGGATTGACTCGGATTGGAAGCTACAAAAGAGAGTGCTCAACTTTGTTCACATACCACCTCCTAGACGAGGGGTTGAGATTGCTGCTTCACTCTTCAAGTATGTGAAGGATTGGGGTATTGAGCAAAAAATACACACAATTTCAGTTGACAATGCTTCGGCCAATGATGTGGCTATTAGAGTTTGCGGGATGATTTTAGTAGATCGAAGAAACTACTAGGTGGCGGCAAGTTGTTTTATGTTCGATGCTGTGCGCATATCTTGAACCTTATTGTTCAAGTCGGCCTTTCTGAGATTGCGGACATTGTAAACAAAATTAGGGACAGCGTCGATTTTGTCAATCGCTCGGAGACCAGATTATTGTTGTTCGCTGAGATTGCACAACAACTTCAAATACCCGGGAAGAAATTGCTTTATGATTGTCGAACAAGATGGAATGCCACCTTCGAAATGCTAAGCTGTGCTATGAAGTTCAAAGATGTTTTTCCTCATTTTCAAGATAGAGATCCACTCTATGATTCCTGTCCAGCTTATGAGGATTGGGAAAATACAGAAAAAGTGTGCTCTGTATTAGAGAAATTTTGGGCAGCCACGCATGTGATATCCGGGAGTGAAAATCCTACGAGCAATTTATTCCTTCAAGAGGTTGTGAAAATTAAGAAAGTCTTAGATTCTCGAGCAAATGATGAAAATGACTTCATCCAAGCTATGATTAGAAAGATGAAGGCCAAGTTCGACAAATATTGGGGCGAATGCAATTTGTTAATGGCTATTGCTGCCATTTTAGATCCAAGGAAGAAAATGAGAGTTGTTGAGTTCGCCTTCCCTCAAATATTTCCATCTTTTAAGGCACAAGAACATATTTCCAGTGTGAAGAAAGCTTTATTTGAGCTTTATGATGAGTATGCAGATTTGAATGCAACTGGAAATGAAAATGCAATCCACTCATGTGCTTCAGAAGGGCCACAAAAAAATGCAACATCTTCTTCTAGGTGGGTTGACTTTGATGAGTACTGTGACGAAATGGAGACTACTAAGCCACAGAAATCTGAATTGGTGGATTATTTAGAAAAGGCTCGCCTAAAGACTGGTTCCAACCCAAATGCCTATGATTGTTTGGAGTGGTGGAAAAGTAATAGGGTTGCGTATCCAATATTGTCCGAAATGGCGGCTGACATCTTGGCTATTCCTGTAACTACAGTGGCATCTGAGGCCACATTTAGTGCCGAAACTCGAGTTATTGATAGCTATCGTGCTTCCCTTCATCCAGATACGGTTCAAGTGTTGTTGTGTGTAAGGGACTGGTGTAGAAAGCTTCATGAGATCTCAAAGAAAGTGAAAGTAAGTTTTATTATTTTATCATTCAACTTTTGTGGCCAAGTTCAACAAGTTATGACTTCTTTTCTTTCTAAATTATTTGCCTTGGGTGGTTTTTATTGTAAATGCAGCAAGCTAAAATAGTCAAAGAAATTGAATTGCCTAAGACTTGAAGGTTTATTGCAAAGGGCTCATTTTGAATCAAGTTTGGCATTGTGGTTATCTAGAGTTCTTGATAATTTTGTACCTTAATTTGATTCATTTTTTGTCTTTGGTGATATTTGACAGGACTTATATTTTTTTGGTTGGCAATAGGTGTTAGAAACTTGGAATTTGGAATCTGAACTCTATGCAGTTAACATCTCAAATGACTTGTCTCAAATCTGTACAGCTATAGTGAATTTGGTGACTTTTTTACTCAAGCGAATGTTGACACTTGACAAGCTGTGGTTGCCAGTTGTGTTTTGACTTTTTTGACTCAAATCTGTACAACTTTGGTGAATCTGGAGATTTTTTTGACTGTTGACAAGCTGTGGCTGCCAAGTTGTGTTTTGACTTTGGACTCAAATCTGCATAGCTATAGTGAATCTGGTGATTTCTTTGACTCAAGTGAATGTTGTATAGCTACTACCAGGTTGTATTTTGATTTTTGACTAAAATCTGTACATGAGTTGCTGTATAGAATCTTGGCAATGAAACTTAATAGAATGTTGTATAGATAACTTGATCTCAAATCGTACAAAGTTCAGTGTATTGTGACTAAATGCTATTAATATTAAGTTCTCTATTTCTTTTGCTTACATGGCTATTTTGGCTATTGAGAAATTATCATTTTTTCTATCATATTAACTAGTTTAATACTGTTGCTTTTAGAGTGCTTGAATCATATGGTTGGCATTTGCGTTGAAATGAAGCAAAATGCATATTGAAGGATAGCACAGTTTTTTGCGCTCAATTTTTGCTGAATTCTAGTCTAGAAAACAAATGTTTTCGAGCTCATTTTACGAGCTTAGTTCGAGTACTCGAGCTTGAATCTTATACGAGTTCGAGCTCGAGTTATCTTTAATTACATCGAGTCGAGTTCGAGTCCGAAGTTTGAGGCTTGCTCGAGCTCGAGCTCGAGCTCGACTCCACCCCTAGTCTTGAGATAGTAAAGCCCTTCACGTCGTTCACCTGCTCCAATCACCATCCTCGAAGTGCGGTCCTGTATAATACATAACTCTTTAGTAAATAAAACATTGCAATTCAATTCATCAAGCAACTGTGACACTGAAACTAAATTGCAGTTCAAATTGGGGACATAAAGCACATTCTTCGACTTCAAATATTTCCCCAACCGAACTGACCCTTCTTTCAGTGCCGTTGTTTGGCTGCCATCAGGCAACCCTACTGCACACCCCGTCAAATCCTTTAATTCAGACATACATTCTAAATTTCCAGTCATGTGGTGAGACGCACCCGAGTCAATTATCCAGTTCAAATAATTCTTACTAGTTAGCTTTTCATTGGTACCAGGTTTGCAAGAATTCAGCAGACTCAGGAAAGCTGCCCACTGTTCACCGTTCAACAATCCTTGTGTTGTATGCTCTCTTTCTGCGGCTACCGTTGATGAGGAGGACTGACCAATCGTCTGAACGGAGTTAGCCCTAGGCACACCCCCACGTCCACGTCCTGAATTCTGGTTTCCGTATCCTCGTTCTGAGCCGCGTCCATTTCCTTTGGGCCGATCGCCCTACCATTCAGGGTATCTGATGAGCTGAAAACAATTTCCAGCATCATGTCCACTGCGATTGCAATATGAACACAGTACAGACTTGTCCTTTATTTCAGTCCCAAGCTTCCTACCTCCTATGCTAGTCTGAACAGCAAAACTCACGGGCTCTCCACGCCCCTCCTTCCCTCTAGACATGCTTCGGATGCGCTCCTCCTGGCATATCAACGAATATGCCTTACCCACACTGGGTAGAGGTTCTGTGCCAAGAATGTTGGAACGAACTGTTCCATATACCATGTCATCTAAACCCAACAAGAACTAATGAAGTTTTTCTTCCTCACGTTTCTTGTCAAGTTGGACTGAAAGATTGCATGTGCATCTTCCACATTGACATGTCGGAATTTGTTCATAGTTTGCAAGCTCCTCCCATAATTGCTTCAACTTCCCATAGTAGGTCACAATTGGAAGTGCCCTTTGTTTCCACTCTGCAATCTCTCCTTTGATCTGTTGTACCCGAGGCCCGTAAGCAATAAAGAACCTTTCTTGGATGTCTTCCCACAGGTCCTTTGCGATTTCCACATGAGCTATGGTGGATCGCAAGGCTGGCTCTATCGTGTTGAGTATCCACAAAACTACCATCGAATTGACAGTCCACCAATCCTCCAGGTCGGCAGAATCATCATCTGGTTGCTCCACTGTTCCATCGATAAATCCCACTTTCTTCTTGGCTCTTAATGCAGTGCGCAACGCTCTAGCCCATTCATCATAGTTGTTACCCTTCAACTGTACCTGGGTAATGATAGTCCCAGGATTGTCATTCAAACTCAAGATGTATGGTGAGACAAGTTTCTTCCCAAAATTCTTGTGTTTCCCGTCGTCATCCATGGCTCTGATACCATGTAAAAATCCTGGGACCCCCTGTCCCCTCTTGTGGCCGTGCCTTTCATATATACAAATAGCGAGGACCCAATTCTATCACGTACCAATCTGAAACTAGAATCCTATCACGCCTCAATAATTGAGTTCTATCATACCTCAACTACTCCTAAAAAAACTTTCAGGGATAACAACAACAGATACCAGCTAAAAGTACAAAGGCAGATAGAGATAGACTACAGAGAATAACTAAAGGTACAGAGAAACACGTATACACAAGATAATCTTCAATACCCTTATTCCAAGAGAGTTGAATTGGCTTTGAAAATCAAAGGCATACCCTTTGAGTATGTGGAAGAAAATTTGGCAAACAAGTCCTCAAATACAATCCAGTTCATAACAAGGTCCCAGTTCTTGTCCACAATGGAAAGCCAGTATGCGAATCACTCGCCATTCTTGAATATCTTGATGAAGTCTGGACAAGTACTGGACCTCAACTCTTGCCCAAGGAGCCATATCAAAGAGCCAAAGTTCATTTTTGGGTTGCTTACATCCAACAGGTATTCATTTTTTTCACTTCAATAAATGTTTTCCTATTGTCTCACAGAAACTGTGTATCATTAACTTGTATTCATGCAGATTTTACAGACCATTTCCAAACTCTACGAGCCCGAAAACGAAGGAAATGAGAAAATCGTTGAAGAAGTGCATGAGAAGATTAAAATTTTAGAAGATGGTGTGAAGGAATTCTACTTCCCAGAGGGATGTCCAGTCGATATCAGTGCTGAAAAGTTAGGGATCCTAGACATCATGGTTTTTGCAACGTTTGCTGGCTACAAGGCACAGGAACAGGTTCTTGGTGTGAAGGTTGTCGATGCTGAGAAGACTCCACTCATCTACTCATGGCTTCAAGCTCTGAATGAGGTGCCTGTGATCAAGGAATCTGCAGTTCCTCATGACCATCTGGTTGGTCTTTTTCAGTTCCTGACATAATCAGCTGGCGGCCACTGATTGCTTAACTAGTTTGAATTGAAAATTTCCTGCAGTTTGAGTGTTTTTGAGTTCATTTTGTTATGTATTTCTATTGAAGCCAATGCCTTTTGCGTGCCTGTTTCCAATCAATAAAGCCATCTTAGCGGAATCTTTGTATTTGAATCCCAAAGAGCACATATATATATATATAGTTCCAGTCATTTCATGACCAAGAAAACTTTCCAATTTCCATTTGTCTAAAACAATCGATCCTTGACAAACTAATTCTCGAATGTCAATGCTTAACAAAATGATCCTCATGTGGAAACAAACTATCAATGCCTTGTAAACAAATTCTCGAACTCAACAATCAAGAAATGGCCCATCAATTGCAGCATATATCTCTCATCCATGTTCCATACGTTGCAATTGTGTGCTAGTAATTGTTTTTTCATCACCTAATTAGAGTTAAGTAACTATAAAACACAGAGATGAGTATAGCTTTGTCTTAAGAAGATTAGTACTTATTTATTTATGATAGGGTTAATACTAATAGAAAAGAAAGCTATAATCCAATAGCAGAAGATTGACGGGTGGTGGATACACTTTTTTGGCAGCACAAAACATTTGACTTGTAATAGTTTTTTCCTTTATAAGAAATTGAATTCTGAACCTGTGTTTCTCTAGTAGAAATAGAATCAATTAGTGTATGTCACTATATCTCACTTTAAAACTAGAATCCTGTGTTCATCACTCATTATCCTTTTATCTTTGAAATTCACTACATAAAAACGAGGAAAATTCCTTAGTGTATCATGACTAACAAGAAAATTAGTCAAGAAAATTCTATAGCATCTCGTTGTAAATAATCATCACTAACAAGAATGCTGAACTTTACAAAATAGGGCCAATACACCAATTTGTGTTCCATTGCGGATAAAGGAAAATATTAGCTGCTGGTCAATATTAAGAAGACAACCAGTTTTGTGCTTCGATTGCGGAAAACAGAAAATAATAGCTACAGTCAATACTAAGGAGTGCTTCATTTTTTTTTTAAGGATAAACATGTAGAAAACGAAAGAGTGGATCCCGTTATACAATTTTCACATTATTATACACATCTCGATTTTTTTCTCCTCTCCTTCCAACACTCTCTATACCTTTAACTGTTAGATTCAAAATTTGAATTTTGAACTTGACAGTGGGAGAACTCTAAGAGCCCTTCCTAATTAGTACACATGTTGAAATGTGTATTCTTTATCATTAATATTATTTTTAGCTTTTGCACAAAACAACATCATATTTGTTTTTTATTCCTTTTTGCTTTATAATAAAATTACAAAAAATCTATGAAGGACCAGAGTATTGCAAATAAATTATGACTCTGCAAAATAATCCATCTTTACCCATTAAAGCACCCAATATAAGAACTCAAAAATTATTCTCCAAGTTTGCAATTAGCACCAATATAAAAGTTATGAAAATTTTATTTATTTTATCATGAGTTAGTAAACGAATTTAAATTAAGCCCGTTTTGCGTCATACATACCACCTTTCCTAATATTTCCACAACCAAACATCAGCTCCTTTCAAATTTGTCCACATATTAATTTCATTCATTCAAGATTTTTCCCATGAATGATTCGTCTAACTAGAAGAGTTTATATATATATATATATATATATATATATATATATATATATATATATATATTACCTGTTAATTTGTTATAGCACCCAAAATTTCCATAAAGTCTGTAACTTGTGTTGTTGTTCATGATTTAAATTTCTCGAGTTATTTTCTATTTTCATTCTTAATCCAATTATACAATGCTTAATTGCTAACATCACACAAAAAATTGTTTTAAACTCATCTAGTGCGAAAAAAATAGTCAAGACAGTCAGACAGGTAAACAAAAATCAATAACCACGTAATAAATAGTGTATAGCCCATGGGTAATAAACTAAGTTAGCTTGATTTTTTTGTATTCTTATTATTTTTGAAAGTTAAAGTCACCTTCACTTTTAGTCTAAGTCTTTGATTAATTTATTGGACAACAAAGCTGACGGTGGATATAAATGATGGAATATGATAAGCTAAAATAATGGTGGGTCAGATATCGGAATGGAAAGGTGCTTTTTTTTTTGGGATAATTTCAGAAACCTCCCCTGAGGTTTCTGACAGTCTCACTCACCTCCCCTGAACTTTACAAAATATCAGATACCTCCCCTGAACTTATAGTTGGAGTAACAAGATTAGCCCATGTCAGAAAAATGAGCATTAAAAAAATATTTTGAGGAGTGAGATGATATTTGTGTTCCACATATGCCCTTTTTGCTTATCCACAACTTGAGCTAAAGCAAAAGCAAAAAAAAAAAAGAAATAATAAGTTGAACCAGATAGAGACAAATGCAGATAGCTTCTTCAAACAATGTTACAATGCTATTTATATTTTTTTGTTTTAGCTATTAGACATTATTTAGCTAATATGATCATTCAATTAATTGAAACATACTTCTGGTGATATAAAAAAAATGTATAGTTTTATAATTTGAGTGATTAAAAGTATAAATTTTTATTAGTTAAATCATAAAAAAATATTATTTGAGTGATTAAAAGTATAAATTTTTACTAGTTAAGTCACAAAATTTTTTTCACTATTTGGTTAATTGAGTGAATGGCAATTGCAGTTAAATAAATAGTGTAACGATCAAATAACCAAATTCTCAATAGTTTAATAACTCTTTTTGTGATTTTCTCTATGGAAAATGAAATGAAGTAGCAAGATACTTCATTTCATTTAGTGCTAGATACTTTAGTTGGGATTTTAAAAAAAAAATTTAATTCACACTGTAGTTAGTCGAATTTATTCAACAAGCTTCGTTTGAATACCAGAGATTAGGTAGATCCAATTTTCAAAAAATTCAATAATCCAAATTGTGTCGCATCACTTTATGAGATGATGTAATATACAATTTACATCATTGAATTTTTGAAAACCAAATTTACCCAAATATAAGTAATGAGTTACACTAGATAATTGTCTTCCAAAAAAAAAACATGAAATACATTACTTTAGAGAAAGGTAACACTAATGCTAAACTCTTCATTGGTGATTGTACTACGAATAAAAAGTATAAAGTGGAATAGAAGGTCTATCATAAGTTATATCAAAAGTTATATCTCTATTACTCATTTAATTAATTCTGTCAAAATATATCATAAGTTATAAGGGTATATCTATCAATTTATCATCAATGATATCACAAATAGGGTCCAATAATCTGACAAGGGAGGTATATGATATTTTACAAAGTTCAGGAGAGGTGAGTGAGACTGTCAGAAACCTCAGGGGAGGTTTCTGAAATTATCCCTTTTTTTTTGTCAAAGAATGGAAAGGTTCTGATGACGTACATTTTGTACATTGTATCTTGTGCTCCAGTCCACTATATGTGAGTAAACAATTATTCAAAGAGTCCTTTTTCAAAAATGAAAAAAGGAAAAAATTTTTTAAAAGAGTCCTTAGCAGCAAAGCATATTTCGCAGATTCAAAGCATATATGAGGTGTACTCATGTACTAGATAATGAAATAATTTGTGGACATTCCAAGTTTCACATAAAAGAGATGTTTCTTTATACCAACATTTAAAGATATGGTATGGTACTGACCTGGAAAGCCCTCCCATTCATAATTATTAAATCCGGTCTTACAAGGAATCCGACAAATGAATCGGTCAATGGATTACTGGTTCAACTAGTAGTTCACTAGTTGAATCGATGGGTATTAAAATAATAATTTTAATATACATAAAATATTTGACATAGTGCTTTTTAAGACTAATTATTGTACTTAGAAAGATATATAAAATGAACAGATAAATCTTTATAGAGGATCTAATTTCATTTTATCGTACTTTGATACAAATAAATTATATAGTCAAAAATAAAATCAAATTATGTCCATTTGTTTTCAAGGATATAGCATTATTTAATTTTTTTAACTACTCAAATATTGTCATTTTGAAAGTTAAGAAGATTAATTGTATAATAAAAAGTAAACAAATTTTAAAAAATATTCACTTCAAATGAAAACTAAACAAGTAGTAAAGTTTTATGTACATTTAAATGAAGATCCACTATTCAAATTTTATCAAAAGCATATATGTACTTTGCTTTAAAAACAAAGATGTTGTAAAACTAATAAACTACTATAATATGAATAGAGATATTAGAGAAAGGAGTAGAGAAAAGGGAGAAAGATATCCTTATATTTCAACAAGATACAAAAGTCACCCAAAGGGTCTCAATGTACCTCTATATATAGGCACTACAAGATTAAAGGTACATAAATCCTATTAAATATCCATTACTACAATAATATGAAGAAACTTATAAAACGGTTTCTCCATTACATGAATAGATTTATGGATTGTAACTTCTATACATAATGTAGCCATAAAATCATGAATTAATCCCCTTGGAAATATAAAGGGACATCCACATTTTTGTTATTTCATAACACTCTCCCTTGGATGTCCATTACACAAAGAATATGCCTCGTTAAAACCTTACTAGGGAAAAATCCAGTGGGACCAAAAACCCTAGTGAAGGAAAAAGAGTACACTATTCTTGTGTAATAATTTTCTCCCCCTGATGCAAACGTTATTTGAGATCTTTTAATTGTCGCATTCCAATACTCTTCACCAATTTCTCAAATGTCGCAGTTGGTAATGCCTTGGTAAATAAATCGGCCAGATTATTATCTGATCGGATTTGTTGCACATCAATTTCACCATTCTTTTGCAAATCATGAGTAAAAAAGAATTTTGGTGAAATGTGTTTCGTCCTATCTCCTTTAATATATCCTCCTTTCAATTGAGCTATACAAGCTGCATTATATTCATATAATATAGTTGGAGGATTTTTTTCCCCGGAGGATAACCCACAATTCTTTCGGATATAGTGGGTCATTGATCTTAACCAAACACATTCTCGACTGGCTTCATGAATTGCTATTATTT